AAGACAAGAATGAGACATGTTTGAGACAAGAGTGAGACAGGTTTGAGTCGAGTTTGAGACACGTTTAAGACAAGAATGAGACAGGTTTGAGACGAGTTTTAGACACGTTTAAGACAAGAATGAAACATGTTTGAGACAAGAGTGAGAAGTTTGAACAAGTTTAAGAAAAGAATGAAATGTGTTTGAGACAAGAGTGAGACAGGTTTGAGACAAGTTTTAAGACAAGAATGAGACATGTTTGAGACAAGTTTTAGACAAGAGACAAATTTTAGACAAAAATTAGACTGTTTGAGACAAGAATGAGATGGGTTTGAGACAGTTTAAGACAAGAATGAGATGGGTTTGAGACATGTTTGAGACAAGAGTGAGACAGGTTTGAGACAAATTTTAGACACGTTTAAGACAAGAATGAGACACGTTTAAGACAAGAATGAGACAGGTTTGAGACAGGTTTGAGACAGGTTTGAGACAAGTTTTAGACACGTTTAAGACAAGAATGAAACATGTTTGAGACAAGAGTGAGATAGGTTTGAGACAAGTTTTAGACAAGAGACAAATTTTAGACAAAAATTAAGACTGTTTGAGACAAGAATGAGACATGTTTTAGACAAGAGTGAGACAGGTTTGAGACTAGTTTCAGACAAGAATGATGGGTTTGAGACAAGTTTTAGATAAAGATGAGATGGGTTTGAGACAAATTTGAGACAAATTTGAGACACTCTTGAGACGTGTTTGAGACCGACTCTACATCTCATTGTTCTGAGAGAAAAATGTGTCTAAATATTTTTGAACAACTTGAAATTTCAGCCACACAAGAGCGAACGGTCGTTCACCTTATCCAGTTTTAATTTTGTCTCCAACCGTCTCAGCCAGCAGCACGCAGGCTTTAGTCTCCAGTTTAAAATTAAAATAAAACTTGTTTGTTTCTGATGAGTTGTGGTAAAACCATAACAATAATTACATTTGGATTTTACAAGAAGAGACACTTCATTGTAGTGACCACACTGTTCAGATATTTATTGTTCTGAGGAATAAAAACTATTTCTGCAGCACCTCAAGTGCGAATGTCTGTAAAGATATTTGTTCTTTAATGGTTAAATTTTACTAACAGAGCTATTTGTGCACGTACCTTAATGCAAATGCACAGTGTCTTATCGTTTTCTTCATCTTGTTTTATTTCTGCGTGAATATTTCGTGTATTTTGCTCCACCCCCACAGAAGCTGAGCAGCCAGCCGTTCGGCGGGTTGACCTTTGACACCGACTACATGATTCGTGTGGTTCCTTTCCCGTCTCTGATGAACGAAAGTTTCTTCCCTCCGTCCTTCCTCCGGACCAACTGTAAGTGCTGAGTCACTGAGGGCTTTTGGAGGGTTCGAACCAAACCTGAGCGTTTTGTTTCTGTTGACAGCGTGTGAAGTCCTCCTCGGACCAGACAACCTGGTCTGCAAACCCTGTAAGTTCCTCAACGATGTCGTCAGAAACGAAGCCACGTGTCCAGAGCTGGCTTCACTGACGGCTTTTACTCTTTTCTTGAGAGTTAGAAACATTTGTTGAAGTCTATACATTGAAGACAAAGAAGAACTGACCGAACTACATTTTAAATGCTTCCTGCTCTTCAACGTCTTCGTGTTAAATAAGATCCACGTGTTTTTGTTTTTATTCTCAGTCTGGAGGCCGAAGAGCCTGAACGTGTCTCAGCTCGGCTCGAACCTTCACGTGGTGTTCGATCAGGCTCCGCCCTCCTTCGGGTTCCACTTCTACTTCCTGTACTACAAGCTGCGACAGGACGGCCTCTTCAGACTCCAGCGCTGCAAACCAGTAAGAGCCGCCGCTGTGTACGCTTCTGCACCGTGTCCTCAGTCATTCTTTTTCCTTCCTGGGTCACTGGTGTCTGTCTGCAGCGGCCACTGTGGCGAGAGGCAGGGGACACCCTGGACAGGTGTCCAGTCCATCACAGGGACTCATGGAGACAAACGAGACAGACACTCACCCACACATAAGGACAACTCAGTTACCAGTTAACCTAACAGTCATGTTTTTGGTCTGTGGGAAGAATCTGCATGTGAACAGGTAGACCATTTTAAAGTCCACACTAGAAGGCCCTAGGTGAGAGGCGAACCTGTGACACTCTCGCCATGAGGCAACGGCACCAACCACTGCTTCACCGTGCCAACAGTAACATTTATTAATAAAATAAAACAATAAAACTTACAGATATTATTTCTGTGCAGTGAGTGATACCAGTTGAAGACTCAGTCGTCCAGGTCGTGATGGATCCAAAAATAAACTCCTGGACTGACACGTCTGAAGCTGAAGACGTTTCTCTTCTCATCCAGGAGGACTTTTCATTTCTAACACATCTGGAGCTCGCAGCTGTATAATCTGCAGGAGAGGACTGGTTTGTTCTTAGATCAGCTGCAGGTTAGACGGTAACTACTCGCCCTCACAGTGGAGGTTCGTTAGGCTCTTTCTGCCTGGTTCAGACAGATGTTTGCTGGTTCAGACAGATGTTTGCTGGTTCAGACAGATGTTTGCCGGTTCAGACAGATGTTTGCCGGTTCAGACAGATGTTTGCCGGTTCAGACAGATGTTTGCTGGTTCAGACAGATGTTTGCCGGTTCAGACAGATGTTGGGTCACCTACATGAAGGTGTGGACTGGAGCTGACCTGGGATCAGGCCTAAAGTTGCTCTGTACGTTTTTTTTAAGTTGAAATCTGAGACCTCTTCTGTTTAAAGTTGTTTCTTCTCGTTTGACGTAAATGTCTTCACCTCTCAAACCATCTGTCCTCTCTGTCCAACATCTGGACCTGTTGGTCCACAGCAGAGTGTCCCTTGTCCTGGAGGTGTAGGACTGCTGAGTCTCTCCGGTGTTGAGTCATGCGTCTGGAGACGTTCAGTTTCTCCAGCATGAAGGTCTGGACCTTCCTGCAGACACCGCTCCGTTTGGAGGTTCTGTCCTCGGGAAGGACCAGCCTCTGGCTGAGGGTCCTGTTGGGTTTAAAATGGACCAGATGTTGAGTTTGGAGTTTCTCAGGTCGAATCTGGGAAGATGTTTGCTCCTGTCTCTGTTCTGCTCTGCAGCCTGTTTTTTTATTTGTTCGCTGGTTGAAGGTCCAGTTAGGATGTCCACAGGTTTGGTTCTGTTGCTTCGGTCTTTGTGGGGACGTGTTCGGCCCAGACGTGTAAAGTTCTGATGATCCAGTGGGTGCTGCGAGTCAAACAGAAGGTTCTGACCCGTGTGAGCAGGTTTCCTGTAAACTTCAACGTTGAGTTTTCCTTCTCTGTCCATGTCCACCAAACAGTCCAGGAAGGGACTGGTTGTTGTTGTTGTTGTTGTTGTTGTTGTTGTTGGCGTCGTCCTCTCTGGTGAACTTCATGTTGTCCACAGAGTTGATGTAGAAGAAACTCGGCCTAAGATAAGATACGCTAAGCAAACTAATATAAAAAGGTTACGTCATCTTAGATAACTAAACTAAGATCAACTAATTACAACTAACGAGTCTCCTCCTCCTCCTCCTCCTGGCTTTTCCCTCTTCAGGGGTCTCCACAGCGAGTCCTCCTCCTCCATCTCACTCTGTCCCCTGTGTCCTCTGTCCTCACTCCAACTACTTTCATGTCCTCATCTCCTTTTGTCTTTTTCCTGGCAGCTGCATTTCTAACATTCTTTTACCAATATACCCACTGTCCCTCCTCTGGACATGTCCAAACCACTGTCCCTCCTCTGGACATGTCCAAACCATCTCAGTGTGTCCTCTCTAACTTTATCTCCCAGTTGTTCAAACCTGTGCTGTACCTCCGATGATCTCATTCCTGATCTTCTCCATCCTTGTCTCTCCTAAGGAGAACCTCAACATCTTCATTTCTTCCAGTTCTGTCTTTTTGTCCATGTCCCTGTCCCCAGACCAGACAACATAGCTGGTCTCACCACTGTCTTGTAAACTTTTCCTTTGACCTTTGCTGACACGCTTTTGTCACAAATCACTCCTGAGACTTTTCTCCATCCTGCCTGGACTCTCTTCTTCTTCTCTTAAGTGAACCCCAAGTCCTTGAAGTCCTGCACCTTTGTGAGCTCTGCTCCTTGTAGCCTCACGGTTCCACCTCCTCCCTCTCATTCACACACATGTAGTAATATTATTATTATTATTATTATTATTATTATTATTAATAATAGTTTGTAGATCAGTTAAGTGGTTTTCTTCTGGTTTCACTTTTATTTTTACTTTAGTTTGTATCTGTTGGTTATTTTCAGTAATTCCTTACATCGTGGTCGTTTACCAGATTTTTGTTTTCAGCGCGGCTGTTTGAAATGACTGTAAACTCGTTTTATTTTTTTATATATTTTTTTATTTAGTTTTATTTAGTTTGATTTAGTTTTATTTAGTTTGTCGTGACGTAACTCGAGCTGAGCGTCCGACCACATCAAGCCTTTTCACGTGAACGTGGAGCGAACGTTTTGTTGCAGCGTCCGCTTTGATGCGTCTCCTGCAGCTTTGTCTTCTCACGTCTTTGTCGTCTCCGCATCGTGAGTCATGCGCACGGAGACAACAGCGCACGTTTTCACAGCCTCTCCCGAAGCCTTTCAGGTGCTGCGCCCGTTTGTGTGAAAATTCAAAGACGCCGTTGTTTGGGAATAAAAAGACTCAAAAGATCGTAGCGCTTTTGTTTTGTCAATTTCTGCTGCCAATAAAAGTTTGAGTGTTCTAATCGACACATCTGTTTCATTTTGTTCGCCTTAATTATTGTGTTCAGTTTGTCTGAAAGCAAAGTTACAGGAAGTCGAGGCTTGTGTGCACAGGTTGTAGCTAATTCAGTCAAAATAAGCACATCTGGATGTTTTAATTTCCTTCATATTCAAAATAGTTTTATTTTAAGTTAATTTAGATCATGTTTTCATAAGAGTTTTATCTGCAGGACACAAACCACGCCAGAACGACCTGCGTCCTCCAGGACGTCACTCCAGGAACCTACATTATAGAGGTACTTGAACGCATCACAGGTTGTTTATGTAGCTGGTTTCTGTTGTTTAGTTTAATGAGAACGACCACGCACAACTAATCATGTTTCAAAAACAAGAATAATCTCATTTACATCAATGTTCACGCAGCAAACGTGTTGATTTTGTTCTGCCTTTGTCTGCGTCTTCAGCTGAAAGACGACGGGAACACGACCCGGAGACAAACCCAGTACCACGTCAGTCAGGGTGAGAGAACAACGAAACAGTCATTTTTAATAACTGCACAACATGTTTAGGAGAAAAATATACAAATTTTTATTTAAAAACAATCTTTCTGGTCATATCTTAAGGTGGTCTTTGAATATTTTTTGTTTGTTTTGATTACTAAACCACCTATTTAAATAAAAAGGCACTAAACTCCGGCGGTGAACCAGTGACACGTCTATATTTACCAGATTTCTGATCTGGACACGTTGTAAATTGTAACTTTTAGCTCCTGTTATCAGCTGCAAAACGGTTTGTTCCCATTTCTTTTGTTGCAACAGCAAAGAACACTTATTACTCATATTATATGCAAAATATATAATATCTGATTTTGCATCAGATATTGATGAAAACTTCTTTAAGAGATTAATAAAATCTCAATATGTGCTCTGGATTAAGACTTTTACACAGTACTGTGATGAATAAATGCCAAGGCTGTACTTCTGCTGTTATTGATCAGATTTGTTTTTGTTTTGTCCATGTCGGGTGCGCTTGTTTTCTTTGCCAGTCCACTCCCCGTGGGCGGGGCCTATCCGTGCCATGGCCATCACCGTGCCGCTGGTCGTCATGTCGGCCTTCGCCACCCTCTTCACCGTGATGTGTCGCAAGAAGCAGCAAGGTGAGGGCGCCCAGAAAACGAGATGTTTGTTTACGACGAGCGGTGCAGGTTTTAACGTTTTCATCCGTTTCTTTTAATAAAACATCTCGAAACCACCCGTGCTCGAATTAAACCGTCCCAGAGCTGGTGGGAAAAGATCATTTTAGTCCAGTCTGATGTTTCCCTCTCGTCTCAGTGGGTTCTGCAGCTTTTATTAAAACGGTTGAAACAAAAGCCGTGAGTGTGTTTGTAAAAAAACACCAATTTTATTTATTTATTTATTTATTTAGTCCTTTGAACACAAACGTTCAGTGTGAACCCGTTTCGAGGTCCGACTGAACTCACTTCTGTCCCTGCCTTTAGAGAACATCTACAGCCAGCTGGACGAGGAGAGCAGTGAGTCGTCCAATCAGAGCGCAGCGATGAACAACGAGCGCCCTCGGCCACGCCCAAAAGTCTTCGTCTGTTACTCCAGCAGAGACGGTCCCAAACACACCGGTGTCATCCAGAGCTTCGCCTACTTCCTGCAGGACTTCTGCGGCTGTGAGGTGAGCGTGGGGAGACTCACCGACAGAAGATCGACCGCTGAACAGAAATGACGGAGGTCTCGTTTGACGCTCAGGTTGTGCTGGACCTGTGGGAGCACCTGGAGATGTGTAAAGAAGGCCAGGTGTCGTGGCTCAGCCGACAGCTGGACGAAGCTATCATCATCGTCGTCGTCTGCTCCAAAGGCCTACGGTAGTTGACGTACTTTGTCTAAACAGCAGAGTTATTTGTTAAAAAGACAAAAAGTTCACAACAGCTTCAGCTGCAGTTCCCGCTGCAGCCACTAGGTGTCGCTAAAACATTGTTTTTCAGAGAACGTGTGAGGCATTCCTTTTGTTCAAATCTTGAGCATAAATAATGTATAAAAAAATTACTTATTTCTGTAAATCTCTTGAGTTTAAAGCTGATTTTGCAGCAGTTTAAACTCATTACAGTTCTCTCACTTCTCTTTACCGGAGCACCATCCGTAAATTATTTCTTATTTTATTGATTTGATTTCTAATTATTATTTTTACGCTTCATGTTTGTGCTTCGGTTTCCTTTCCCCCTCCATTTTTCTTCTTTCTTTCTTTATTCCATCACCCCTTTTCACCTTCCAAGTTTTACTCTTCTGTCTGTTTTCCACCTTTTTTTATTTTTTATTTCTAGAACTTTTTTTGTTTGTTAAAATATAAGACAGATGAGAAAATCTAAGGACAGAAATAATGACACAAATAGTTTTAAAATGATTCTATATTATTTATTATAAAAATGTCTCAAGTTTGTAATAAAGTGCATCAATAATTGTGAGGGTGAATTAGGAATGTTTAGAAATGTTTTCAGAATAAAACGCGTCGCTCAGATTTGCAGATTGTCCATTTTTTGTCTCGCAGATATTTTGTGGAGAAGAAAAGTCGCCGGGGGAAGACGCCGGTCGGTCGCCGTGGTAACAGCAGCAGCTCTCAGACAGGCGGGTCAGGCGGCGACCTGTTCGTCGTGGCCGTGGCCATGATCGCAGAGAAGCTGCGGCTGGCGAAGCAGAGCGAGGGGGGCGGCGACCTGAGCCGCTTCATGGCGGTCTACTTCGACTACTCCACAGAAAACGACGTGCCCACCACGCTGAGTCTGGCTCCCAGGTACGTCCACCACCTACTCGATTCAACACGCAGTACTCGGAGACCTGACGTACTTCCTGTTTTAGGTTCAAGCTGATGGACCAGCTGCCTCAGCTCTACAGCCGGCTCCAGGCGGGTCAGTCGGGTCTGGCTGATCAGGAACAGCTGCCCATCAACGTCTCCAGGAGGAACTACTTCCGGAGCAAGTCCGGACGCTCGCTCTACGTTTCCATCTGCAACATGCACCAGCACATCAGTCAGGATGCGGACTGGTTCGAACACCAGCTTTCTCCTGCAGGACCTTCATCCGAGTCTTCAGGACCGGCTCCAAGCCCCGCTCCAAAGCCTGCCGGCCCCCCGCTGCCTCAGCCCGAGCACAGGTTTCACTCTGGCTTGGGGCTGAACCAGGTGGTGGTGAGGACGCCATCACTGGATGGGGCTGATGGAGCGCCGAGGAGGAACGTGCTCCTGCAGGCCTCCAGCTCTAGTCCCAGTCCCAGTCCTGGTCTTTGTCCCAGTCCAGACCTGCCTCACTGCTCTGCATCAACGCAGGGATCCACCTCAAGGTGAGTCAAGGTGTTGGTTTCACCAATAAATCCTGAAAAGTCACGACGACGTGCGTTCATCTCACTGTTTGTTTGTTTTAGAGCCTCCACCGGAACTGGAACATCTGGAGGGTTACCTGAAGAACCCTCCTCGTCCTCAGCTCCCCCCATCCTTCAGGATGAGGTGTGTCCTGCCCCCGCCCACATTGAAGAGGACCATTCTTCAGCTCCAGAAGTCCCGCCTCCTCGCGACTCTGGCATCTACGATTCGTCCGTCCCGTCGTCGGAGCTGTCCATCCCTCTGATGGAGGGGCTGCTGCAGGACCAGGTGGACTCGTCCTCCCTGGCAGACAGCGAGTCGTCTTCATCGGGGCTGGGTAAAGCTGCAGCATCCGGCTCATTTTAGTCAGACGTTTACATGAACACACGAGTGAACATTGTTTTAATTTTAGACTTTTATTGATTGATCTGAACCGTTCTTTCTCAGGATGGATCAGTTTTATTGATTGATCTGAACCGTTCTTTCTCAGGATGGATCAGTTGGGCAACACACAACTTCAGCAATTAGTAAAAAACAGAATTTATTGCACAAGTTTGAGCTCATTTTGGATTTTCTCCTCTCCACACTGAGTCAGACACACACACACGTGTGTATATATATATATGGATGTATATATATATATATATATATATATATATATATATATATATTCCCTTAAAAATCTTTTATTTAGTGGATCTAAAGGTTCTCAAACTTGAAAAGGTCTACTAACTTCCTGTTAATGATCATGGTTAGGCAATAAACAAATCAATTAATCGCATGATAAATGAAAATTATCGACCTCATTTTAATTGATCAGCTTTATCGTTTCTTCGTGTCTCTCTTTCTACTGAAGACACTGGATGACAAAAGGCTCAACTCTGGTGATCTTCACTGACCACTCCCTTTCTCTTTAAAATTTGTTTTAACCGTCCAAAACTGCGTTTTTGGATCGTTAAAAGCAGCTAAGCTACGAGCTAAGCTAACAAGCCGACCTCAGGGAAAAAAACCTCTGTCTTGTCGAAACTCCAAAATCCACATTTGAAACTCGTGACTTCGTGTAAAAAGTTGTTTTTCTCTGCAAAGAGAAACTGAGAACTTGTTTACTGATTTTTTTATGAAAAGCTTTGTGTGAACAATGTTATGCTAAAGAGCTCAAACCGCACCGAGCATCCGCCATTTTGAGAACCGAAGAGAGACAGTCCACGTCACGTCAAGGGGCCTCCCTCCCGTTTTTCTTAGAGACACGCTGCTCGCTCCCTCACTATCCATCCTTCAGTTGAAACAGTCTTATACTGCCTTCAAGTGGTCCAAAAGGTACTACACTCAAAACAAATTAACCAACATTTCTTCTTAATTTTGACAATAATTACTAATTATTGTCAAATTTGAACAATATTATCATTTATTGCAATAATTTCTGAGACAATTAATCGCCCAGAAAAATTTATGCTGACAGGCCTGTTCGTGGTTGACTGCAGCTGGTAGTTTCTCTTTGCCACTATTAAAAAAATTATTTGTTTCACAGCCCTCATTGATCTGATCAATTCTCAGAACAACCCAAAAGTCCAAATGAACTCCGTGAAGGTTTAAGGAGTGGTAGAAATTGGTTCTGGTGTTCAGGAACTACCCAGGAGCCACTAAAGCTCCACCAAGGTCTGTCATGAGCTCCAAACAGCTAGAACACAGTGCAGTCGGTCTCACATCACCGTGGACTGACGGGACCAAAAAAGAAGCTCCGCCTCCTAAAGTGCCACCTTCAGGCTCGACTGTAATCTCCAGCAGCCCACGTGGACGAGCCAAACAGCTTCTGGAGAAACGGTTTGTGGATCAGACGAGAGTTTGTCCACAGTGACTGCGAGTTTAAAGGAGGGGCCGTGGTGCAGCTTTCAGACCCGAGCACGTCGTACCAGCTGTTGAGCATGGCGGTGGTGGCATCATGCTGTGGTAACAAAGACGAGGAGTACAGCGTCACCTCAGAACAGCTAGACGGTTGAAACTTGGACACCGTTGGGATCCCACACGTCAGAGCTGGTTTCTGATTGGATAACCTTCTGTCAAGAAACCAACCAGTTTAAACTACCAGTTCTGGTGAGAAGGTCATCTGTCAGCCGTGATTAAACCTGAAACCTCTGGATGGAGTCAAGAGTCCTGCGGTCGAGCTGCAACGTGTTCGAGAACCTTGAACCAAACGTGTGTTTATTTGAGTCAGATCGGAGAAAATCCACAATTTCAAACTTGTGCTCCTAATTTCTGAACGGTCCACCCTGGAACAATAAATCCCTGAAGTCCTTCCTGTGATAAGTGTCTGTGATGTTCTGACCACGGCTGTCGCTTTATGAAATGTCTCTGCTCTTCACGCCTTCCAGGTGACGAGGAGGCGCCCACGCTCACGTCGCTCCGCTGCGGCACCGTTTGCAAAGCCGAGCACCGTCAGCTGGAGCGCGGCGGCGCGCACGCAGCGTCGCTGTAGGCGGCGCTCCGAGCCAATCGGGAGACGCCATCAGACGGCTAGGTGCCGTCGTTGTCATGGAAACCAAACCAGAAGACTTGAGAAGCATCGGAGTCCTGGAGCCGTGGTTTGTGGGGGCGGTTCTGGAACCGAGGTTGTAACCACGACACGTGACGCTGCGTTTTAAACCTTAAAGACTAGTTTAATAAAATAACCCCTCAGAGATGAAGAAACGAGTGTTTGCCCCCCAGTAACCATGGTAACCGCAGCATCTCTCGTCTCTGGCGTCGTCGTAGCGTTGTCAGAAGACTTTCGGTTGTCGGACGCTTGTTGATCAAACGAGCTCGAACCCAAAACTTTTCCACCAAGAGTTGGACGTCGGCTGTCGGGCGACGCACTTTAAGATGCGGATCGTAAAGAACGAGGCGCAGCGTCTGAATCAACAAACGCATCAAAGCCTTTTAACGCAACAGGGTGGATGTTGTAACTGTGTGAACTAAAACCAGCTAAAACGTTTTGGTGTAAAAGAAGTGCCTCTTTTCATCTAAACGTACCATTTTCACCATTTGAACCACTGGAAAACACATTTTATAGAATATTTCATGAACATAAGCTGTAAAATTCCTCCACATCGTGTCACGGCGGGTTTTATTTACCGTCCGACGTGGAGCTGTTTGATTTTTTTTTTTTTGTTGACAGAAAAAGCCACATCTGATCATGTGATGTGTGAGTGTAAGTTTTGTAAATAGAAATTTAAATTTTATAGTTTTCTGTCTTTTTATTCATAAATTTCTACCATGAGCTGAACATTTCTCTTACTGATCCGGTCATTCCTGCAGTATTCAATTTTTACATCTGACAGCCTAAATATTTGACATTTATAGACATTTCCAGATGCCTTATAATGTGTTTGTTCTAAAATAGCAGGAATCTGACTGTTTAAGAGCAATTAATAAACATTTACCTGAAGTGAGAAATAATGAGGTGTGGAGAATACAGGACAAATGCCTCCAAGGTCATTTTATGTGGATATTTTTTAATTTTGGAGCTTTTGGGAGGCAGGAATTGGTTTCCATTTATGGTTTAAAGTATTTTTCCAGATTTGAGTCAAGTTTACTGGCAGACATTTTGTCTTTTAACCGTCAAAAACTGGTTATTTTACAAAAACGTCCATGTTCTAAGTCATTTTAAGCTGTTTTCTAAGAGTTGCTGCTGAAGAACATCACAACTTCTGCTTCATCTGTGCATTTTCTGACTGAAGATTTGTCCTCGCCTCATTGTAAATATGAGAATACTTCACTGTGTATAGACTTAGTATTTTTATATCTATTTTATAGAATGTAATGTTCTTTACATTACGATAGGTAAATAAATCCACGTTAATAAGCTTTTGCTTCGTCTCTTTCTGAAAGGAGTTTAACAGTAAACACCACATTTTATTTAAATTTGTTTGTGGAAAGGTTAAAGTTGTAGTAAAAAAAATTAAATAAGGGATAAAAGACAAAAAGTTGCAGTTGTCAGAACAAAAGTACCTGAACAGTTTTGAAAAAGGCTGTAAATCTTTTTCCGTTTCAGGCTGAAAAACAGGTTTTGTTTCTTTAAATAACTCCTTTCTGGGACATAAAAGTTAGAGCTGTGAGGCTCAACCTTAAAACAACAAGAGTCTGAAAATACCAGAGAATGAACAGCGCGCCTTCAAAATAAAAGCACAGACATTCACTAGTTTTAGAGGGAGAGTGTTTCTAAATCGTTTAAAATACTTTACCTTCATCAGTTTCACGACAGATGATGACAAAATTATTTTACATTAGGTTCAAGTTAGAAAAACAAACTGTTTTTATCAAATGATATAAAAGTTTTCTGCAGTGAGCTCCAAACAACAGCCGAAACCTGCTGAATGAATTAACTGATTTAAATTTAGACGAGCTGAACTGACTTTAAAATCAGCTAACGAGTAAATTAAAATAAGCACAACGGTAGCTAAACGCTGAAATGATCATAACAGAAGCTAAATGCTAGACACACAAAACCACAGTTAGAAGCTAAAGTCAGCGAAACTTGTTAAAAGCTAAAATCAAAATGAACAAATTAGTAGCTAGATGCTAAATATAGCTAAAAGCTAAATATGGCCAAACAGCAAAACTACCTTAAAACTTAATATGGTGAAAACATTCATAAAATGCTAAAATTTGCAAAACAGCAGCTATAGATAAAATCAACAAGCGTAGCTAAAAGCTAAGTGTAGCAAATAATAGGCAAAGGCTAAGATTTGAAACACTTGTTTATAGCTTCAAACCAAATTAACAAACTAGCTAAACGCTAAAATTACCACATCAGGAACTGAATTCTAGATGGAGGAGACCACAGGTAAAAGCTTATTTAGCTAAATTGTAGCTAATAGCTAATCTTGCATGTAGCTAAATGATCAATAAAAACCACAGTTAAAAGATAAAATTAATAAATCTGTAGCTAAACCATGTGTAATAGCTAAATTAGCTAATTTTGAAGCTAAAAGATAAAATCATAATTAAAAGCTAAAATTAACCAAAGTTAAGGGTTCATGTCTTTTAAAGCTTTCATTTTGAAGGTCCACCCGGAAGTAAGAAAACTCGTCAAAATCTTAACTTGAGTAAAAAAAAAAAAAAAACATTTTCAGGAATCAGCGACTGAGCTCCGTTCAAGTTGGACTTTTGTTTGATTTGTTTCAAGAAACCTTGTTTTGTACTCACCTGTGTGACGTCAGCAGCCGCAAACACCTGGTTCGGAGGTTCTGGTCGTTTTAAATCAGCGTGGGCTCCTCGGGAGGAGCTGCTGTCCGATGCAGGAGGCAGGTGATGGACGTCAGAAGAGTCGAAGGTGAGAAGAAGATGAGTTTTAAAACAAAAGTTTAAATCGAGGATCCTCTGAAAGTTTAAATTTTTATTTACTGGAACACACAAAGGAGCAACAACAACAAAAGGTTGTGTTTTAGTCAATAACGATCTTTAAAAATGGACTAAAACTTGAGAAAAAGGTAATGTGGTTTGATGTGGAGGTTTGTTTAAAGTTCTGGAGACATTTTGTTTCCACCCTGACAGAAGAGCTGTTTGCTCCAGAGGTCAAAGGTCAGGAGGACCAGAACCAAACAACTGGACCTTTTTTTTATTTAACCTTCATGACATCTGAGAATCTTGTCAGCTGAATATTTTCAGCCTTAAATGATCTCAAACAGCTAAAACACAATTTATATCTAGTTCAAACCAAACATGAGCTGAACATGAGCCGAAAACACAAGAGCTGAGTCTGTGAGGTGATTGTGGAGGAATGTGGTTCGGCTGCTGGAGGACAATAAAGATGTTCAGATGAAGTTCTTCGGCTGGTTGACTAATGATTGTGTCATTGGCTCTGCTGGTTTTTGTCTTTTTTTATCGTCTTCCCAGTACAAGCTGCATTTCAGCTTCAACTTGTGACACTGGGTTTGGGCCCAAAATCTTTAGCTTATAACAGGTGAATCAGCACTTTCAGCTAAAACACAACACTCAAAGATAAATGTCTGCTGAAGAGCTTAAACTAAGCTGGTAACAAAAAAGGCAGAACATTAGCTAAAAGCAGCAGAAGGTTAGCAAAATGTTTAAAGATGCTTGATAAAAGCTAAAAGTACAAAAAGTTGCAAATTGTTAGCCATAAGTTAAAATTAGAAAAATGTGAGATAAAAGCTAAAAGTAGCAAGTCTTGATAGAATTAGCCAAGGGTTAGCTCAAAAGGAAAGTGAAAAGTTAGCTTAGATTAACAACAGCTAAAAGCTAAAAGTAGCAAAACATTAGCCAAAAGTCCCAAAAACATTAGCTAAAATGTATCTAACAACTAAAACATAAGGATAGCTAAATGGTAACGTAGCTAGATAAAAGCTAAAAGTATAAAAGACTAGCTAAAAGTTGTAAATTGTTAGCCAAAAGTTAAAAATAGAAAAAGGTGAGACAAAAGCTAAAAGTAGCAAGTCTTGATACAATTAGCCCAAGGTTAGCTCAAAAGCATAAAAATAAAGTGAAAAGTTAGCTTACATTAACAACAGTTAAAAGTAGTAAAACATTAGCCAAAAGTCCCAAAAACATTAGCTAAAATTTATCTAACAACTAAAACATAAGGATAGTGTTGGATTAAAATATGAAATCCAACAATAGCTAAACTGTAACGTAACTAGATAAAAGCTAAAAGTATAAAAGACTAGCTAAAAGTTGTAAATTATTAACCAAAAGTTAAAAATAGAAAAAGGTGAGACAAAAGCTAAAAGTAGCAAAAGTATTGCTAGAATTAGACAAAGTTTAGCTCAAGAGCAAAAGGAAAGCCTAAAAGTCATGAAAAGCAAAAAACTAGCTTAAATTAGCAACAGGCTAGCTAAAACTAAAAGTAGAAAAACACTAGCTAAAAGTCCCAAAAACATTAGCCAAAATTTTCTAACAACTAAAAGTAACATAAGGATAGCTATAAGATAAAGTAGCTATATAAAAGCTAAAAATACAAAATGCTAGCTAAAAGTTGTAAATTGTTAGCCAAAAGTTAAAAATAGAAAAAAGGTGAGACAAAAGCTAAAACTAGCAAAAAAATTTCTAGAATTAGCCAAAAGTTAGCTCAAGAGTGAAATCAAAGCCAAAAACTAAAGAAGCAACAAGCTAGTTTAAATTAGCAACTGGCTAGCTAAAGCTAAAAGTAGCAAAACACTAGCTAAATGTCCCCAAAACATTAGCTAAAATTTATCTAACAACTGAAAGTAACATAAGGATAGCTAAATGGTAAAGTAGCCAAAGGGTAGCTTAAGCACTGAAAGAAGAAAATGTATAGCGAAAAGTAACAAAAGGATAGTTAAAAAGGCTAAAGGTTAGCTAAAAGTAAAAGTCGCAAAATTGTAGGTAAATGCTAAAAGTAGCTAAAGTCGTCAACTCATTTCTTCTCATTAATAGATGTTAATCTAAAACTGGCACGGAAGATGGCGGGCGATGTGCATTCATTCACAGAATGCTGGATCTTGGGAGTCTTTTTGATTTCAGCTTCTAGTTGGACATTTAGGTCCATCTCAAACTTGTCGTTGGACAGTTGGTCCCCTCGCAGACACATGGATGTCTCTGGACTTGAGACCTGTCCTGGAAGTCTTCCTGAAACTAAAAACCTGATCAGACTTGGTTTTAGGTTTAGGTGAGGACTGCTGTGTCCAACGTCCCTCTGAAGCTGCAGAAACACAAACGTGTCTCGGTCCGAGAGCCTCCAGGGCGGGACGAGTCCCAGACAAGTCATCTGAGGAATGGATGAGTCATGGCGTTAAAGATGAGCTCACAGAGGGAGGACGGCCTGACCCTGCAGCGACACAAGGACGCAGTCTGAGGCTGGACAGACGAGCCTCCATGTGTTTTTAAAAGCTCCATTACAGCTGCTGTTTATCATGTTTTTATTTACGTTTGTTTATTTGACAGACGTGTCGATCGTAAAGCCCTGGTTCTGGGCGCTCGGGGTGTGTGGACCAGAACCAACCACACGGTGACGCTCTTCTCAAACGTCAGAGTTCAGATTCTTGTTTTTGAATTTGGAACTTCAGGAAGTTGTCAGAACAAAAGGACAACTCTTTCCTCCCTACAGTGAAATGTTTTTATATACTTCTATTATTATTATTTGTTTTATAATTATTTTCCAAGGTTTGTATTCATGAGAGACTTCTTGTAGGACAGTTGAACTGCTCTCTGTGCACTGAACGGCACTACGTCTGGTTTTCTTGTACTTTTAGAATAAAAACAGTAAAACTTCAGATTCTTTTTGTCTCCTGCAGGTCCAAGAGGAAAACCTCCTTCCCTCTTGTCCCTCCTGACGGCAGCTGGTCTCTCAGAGCGGTAAGAACCAGTTCTCAGAACCTGAATAAAGACGTACCTTTCAAACCAACGTTTTGTCTCTGGAAAACTGAAATCTGGACCCGTACAATCCACACGTGTACATTTACTGATCCGTACGTCTTCCACAGCTTCGCTGTGGTCGGGGAACACGCAGGGAAACCCAGACCACCTCATTCTCTCTGAGTCACTCTCCAGCTCCTACTGGGAGACCCCAAGGTCTTCCAACCCCAGAGAATATATAATCCTTCCAGGGAGTTCTGGGTCTGCCCTGGGGGTCTTCCCATGGGATGTGCTGAGAAAACCTCCAAAGGGAGGCTTCCTAATCAGATGTCAGAACCCCCTGGACTCACCTTTTCTAGTTGGTGGAGTTATATATTTTGAGTCTTTATAAACCCATCCAACACTCTTGCAGTGTTCTTAATGTTCTGAACTCTGTAAAAGAGCACAGCTTGTCATGATCTCTGCCCTCTGCCACGCCCACTTCTCCACCTCAATCACACTCATGCTCATCACCTGTGTCACTCCCAGTCTCCCTCTTGCTGCACCTGTGTCAGCCTCTGCCTCCCTGCCAGATTGTCTGATCGCCTCGTACCTGAAGGCTCGTTCCTAAAGACTCGTTTTGAGTCGCGCTTGATTATTTTAAATAAACGATCCATGCCGCGCATGCAGCTCACTCAGGTATAAGACAGACACCCTGCCCCCTCCTTTCTTTTTTTGGAGGTTGTCTGTTGCACACCCGCCTTTTGTGTTTCTCTGGGACACGATGGGGAAAGATAGACCCCAACCTAGCCCCCTCCTTTCTCTTTCTCTGCTGTGACAGACAGCTTCGGAAAGAGAAAGGAGGGGGCGGGGTCTGATACCTGAGTGAGCCGTGCTCAGCCACTCTTTGTTTTTTTGTTTGTTTTTTTAATACAAAATTAAATTTTAAACCTGTGAAAGAGTGAGTCCATGACAGCCGAACCGCGACATATTGAGGGACTGCTGTATTCCAAGATTATCTGTTAAAAATACAGATTAATCTTATTTACTGTGTGCATTTTTTTTAAATAAGGAGCCATTTTGTTTGTTTACTGAACTCCAGTCAGATTATGTTCAGTAAATAATTAAGTTGTTGCTGCAGAAATAAAACCGTGATGCAAAGTACAGGAAAAAAATTATATTTTCTGACAGAATCAGACGCAGATTTGGACGATTTCATGTCTATTTATTAATATTTTCACAACTTTCATAAAGCGCAGTGATTTTCTCGGTGTGTTGGTGGTTTCACCTCCGGTGTCTCCAGTGGATCCTAATAATAGACGTTTGTTTCCCTCCCGCCGAGCGTCGCTTCCTGTTTGTCCAGTGGGAACACACGCACATGCACATGCACACGCACACACATTGTGAAGGGGTTCCTGTTCCTCAGGATCTGTAGATCCACTCAGAGAGGTAGAGGATCTGAGGAGGTGAAGGAGCAGAAAACAGGAGGAGAAAAGGGGTCAGAAGAGAGGAGGTCAGACGGACAAACCGAACAAACTTGGAGGAGTTTCTAAAAGTTTAAAGGAGACGAAGAACGTGGGATTAAAATGTGACTGTGAAGGAGGTGATTGAAGGAGGTGAGAGGAGTAAAGAAGTCACTGTTGGAGGAGGACAGAGCGAGGATCTTATGCAACGTTTGAGGTGAAAAGAAGAACTGGAGGAAGAGGAGCAGGATAATCAGCAGCTGAGTGTGTGAGCAGCAGAGCTGGTCCTGATGATGGGCTGCTGCCTCTTTGTTTACCAGCGGGTGAGTTTAGAGTCAGCCGGACGCCTTTTAACCACGAAACATCACCTGAACAAATAAAACCTGCCGCAGCTGTTCTCACCGTTCCAAACGCTTTTCACAAGCTGCGGGTAAAATCTCCAAATCCACAGTTAAAAACTTTTGCTTTTCAGATATTTAGGTGGAGAAGGAACAAACAAACGATCAAAACAAAAGATTTCTCATTTATTTGTGTCGCATCAACAAGTTGCAGAAGATTGTAAAAGTAAAAAGAGAGGAAAGAGGTGTTTGTTTTTTCTCTGTCGGTGAACACGATGTCATTCATCCATCCATCCATCCATCCAGCTAAATGACCAATCGTCCATCCATTTATTCATCCATCAATCATCCATGCATCCATCTGACTGAGCAACCACCTGTCCATCCAAAAAATCAACCCATCGTCCATCCATACGTTCATCCAACCATTCATTTATCCGTCCATCCATACGACCGACCAACCGACTGCTGTCCCTCCATCTAACAAAACAGCCGATGGTCCACTTTTTTTTAATCCATCTATCAAATTAACCAACAAACCAACCAAATGTCCAACCTTACCTTCATCCATCCATCAGACCATCCAACCGACTGCCATCTGTCCACTTCACCAACCAGTTGTCCATCCTTCTGCCCATTCATCAGTCTAACCCTCAAACCATCCTTCTGGCTGTCCCTCCATCTGTCCATCCGACAGAAAACAAATATTGAAAACATTTCCACGCTTCGTTACGTCACAACGAGCTGGAGTTGATGTACATTTTTTCTAACCATTTCTTTTTTCTTCTCCACTGAAGTGGAGAAGCTTAAGTTGGCATCGGTCACTGATCCAGAACAGTCAGAATAACAGAAAATGTTAAACAGGAAGAGAAAAACATTGCAGTTTGCAAATTGACCTTATAAGGACAAAATAACCTAAGCCCCTCCCCTCCTCTTGATAAAGGTAAGAGCCTGCCAGGTTGTGTAACGTCCAGACAACAACAAAGTCTCAACACAAAAGTGAACAAACGGCACCGACTTCCTGCTATTGTTGCGTTCTGCTGCGCTCCAAACATCCTTCTTTAAAATGTCTTCTCCTCTGTTCTGCTGTTTGTCTGTTTTTCCTCTTCGGTTGTCATGACAACCAGCTGGAACTGTTGTTGTTGTTTTTTTTTAATCCAGCTGTAGCTTACTGTAAACCATGGTTTCCATAGTTACCACCAAATAATAACCAAATTAAAGAATGTGAGTCTCAAACCAGTAACTATAGTTGTACTGCAGGTGAGCAGTACAACACGTTTTATTGAAGTACTACTTCATTTTCGAAGTAATTTGTTCTAATGTTTCAGTACATTTTTAAGTTTCTGTCTGTTTCCTGATCTTTTGTCACATCTGTTTGGACACAACAGAATTTAAAGATTTCTTCTTAGACCTAAATTATTACTCTTTATAGTTTTCTAAAAGATAATGAGTCCGTTGATTAAAAGTAATTGAAAACTATGAAATTAATCTGAGTGTCGTTCCTTCCAACACTTGAACATCTTCAAGGCCTCCTCGGTCTAATGGCTGCACGTGGTGTGTTTTGTGTTGCAGAAGAAGAGGAAGCAGGCCAGCGGCGATGCAGACGGCCTCAGTCTCTGCAGTCTGGACATCAGCGTAAGCTCCGGTTCTGGTTCCGCTGTGACAGATCCGTGCTCTTGTTGTAAATCGTGTTGAGATTTCTGGGAAAAGCTGTTGACAGGAGCAGACGATTGCTCCTGACCGAGCGTTTCGTCTGTTTTGGTCCAGTTCTGCTGCACAGGAAGAGACGATGTTCTGTTGTTGGGAGCGCAACACGTAACAAACTCCACTTTATGTCCCGAAGCGTCAGTGTAGCTGTTAAAAAAAGCTAAATGTAGTTCATTTTGAGTGGAGAACTTAAAGGTTCATATTTTTAATTTAGAGTCTGTTAAAATCTTTCCTGTGGTGTAATTTTCATAAATCACGTTTTTCACGTTCAGCTTTGTTGTTGCCGCCGTTTATACGTCAGAAACTGTTTTAGTTGATAAATCAAATTGGTTTGTTGGATTAATTATCACCAGCAGTGTCCCCCTCACATTTAGCATGAAATATTAGTTCACCCAGCCGTTTCGGTTTATTCAAGAACAAATCCATTCCACTTGACTAATAAGGGAATACTCAAACCACTAAAAGTCCACTCCGGGTTTTCCTGGTTACCTACAACAACTCACCACACCGTGTGCAGTGTTTGTCCTCGGTCACTTGACAACGCACTCATTTCTGATTTTTGGTCGATGGGGAGGAGGGGGAGACACCTCTGTGTTGCATGCTAGCTTAGCACTGCGTTAGTGCCAGCAGTTGTCCACCGGGGTGGGGGGAGTTAGGATGCGTGAGAGAAGCGGAGTGCTATGTCTGTAGCATCTTAGCTGGTGCATCTGTATTGCACGCTACTAGCTTAGTGCTATGTTAGTGCCGGCAGTTGTCCACTTGTGTGTGTGTGTGTGTGTGTGTGTGGGGGGGGGGGGTGTTAGTATGCGTGAAAGGAGTGGATCGTGCTGTATTCACACAAGGAGAGCTGTTGGTCAGGCTACTTCTTGTAGCTGCTCTAAATTAGTTATTGAATCAAGTGTTTACTTATGTAGGTGCATGTAGATGTTTAACAACCCGTTAAATGCACCAGAATGCAGGAAATGGCATCTACTTTATTCAAAATTTTATGGGGAGGACCACCCAGAACCCCCCACCACAGTGTCCCCCCACATTACAAATGCTTTTGATGCCGATGATCACCTGCCACCAAGATCTGCAACTGATAAACTTTTGGAGCCAAACTAATTCAAGATGGCTGCCAGAACCAGAGTAACAGAACCGGAGTAGCAGAACCGGAGTAACAGAACTTTATGTCCCATTTGACTGAGGCTCATTGTCGATTCTGGGCCCTCCGGGTTCCTGATGGACCCCTCCTCTGGTATTTTTAGCATTCTGCCCGCAGCCCTGTTGTTTTGCGGGCGTTTCCCTCTCGGCTCGGTCCAGCGCAGGAAGTCCAGCGCACTCCAGCAGAACACACGGAGCGAACACGCCATCAGTCATACCGCCTGTGGCAGACGTCGAACCTGGACTAACTTACAGTCTATTGTCTCTGAGCTGACGCTCCGTGGATCACACGCAGCCTTATTGTGCTCGGACTGCACCTTCAGGAACTGGACTTCTTTATCTGATGCTGAAGGTCAAAGGTTGAGATGGGGGGGGGGGGGGGGGACATTTCATCCACAGAAACAGATTGTTCTGTTTGTACTGTTAGCGAAGTATCTCCTGAACCACTGAACAGATTTTAATGATCAGCAAATAATCACTGGATCAACCTTCAAATCTTCAAGATGGCTGCCAAATACAAGGAAGGCTACGACCCAGTTTTACGGATGCTAGGCTCAAATGTGGCGTGGTAGTAGATGAGCCTTACCCCAACGTGTACTCTGAGGGCTGACTGACCAAGCGAGATCTGATTTTCAAACGCTGCCATCAACAGCAAAATGTTTCGTGAACCGCAGGACTGATTTTAATGAAATTAGAAAATAATCACTGAATTAAAAAAAAAAAAATCTACAACTGGTTAAACTTTGGAGTCACCTCAATTCAAGATGGCCGCCACAGATAGCCAACATTAGCCAATATCAAAATCACTATGACTCAGATAATTTTACAGATATTGAGCTAAAATTGGGCGTGGTCGTAGCCGAGAGTCGTCCTCAACACATGCTCTGAGCGTTCACATGAGAAGGGACAGGGACGTGGCGGCCATCTTGGCTTTAAACTGTCATCAACAGCAGCAGGCGATAAGTCGTGGTTTAATATTTTTATTAAAAGTGTTTGAAGTTCATCGCAGCAGAAACGAGAACTGGACGCATCTAAAAATAAACTTTGTTATTTACTCTAACGGTGCACGTCGGTCTCCGTCATCACCCCCGTCCTGTTCAGCTCGAGCGCAGCTCCGACGTCCGAAATGTTCGGCACAACCGTGACGCTGCAGTCCGGGCAGAGTCGTCACCGTGGAGTCTTTGGTGCAGGAATGTTGCCAGACGCCAACTCACGGTGCACACATCACAAATGTGTTGAAAGGACAAATGTGGTAGGAGTGTCCCAACATACATTTGTTTCTAACGGAGTACAAGTACTTCAGTTTGTGCACTTGTTCATACAGAGTACCAGTACTGAGTAGTTGTTAGTTTTTAAACATTACACAATGACTTTAGAAACATCCATTCTCTTTACCCGCTTCTTCCTTTTTGGGTCATGCCCATACCCAGCAGTCACTGTCTGAGAGACAGGGGACGCCCTGGACATGTCTCCAGTCCATCACAGGGACACTTTAGAGACAAATGAGACAACCACTCTCACCTAGAGACAATTTAGAGTTACCAGTCAGTCTAACATGCATGTTTTTGGTCTGTGGGAGGAAACCGGAGTACCCACAACACGGAGCGAACATGTAAACTCCACCCAGAAAGGCCATCCAGCCGGGATTCGATCCAGCGACCTTCTCACTGAGAGGCGGCACTTCTACTTACTGCTCCACCGTGCCGCCCAACTTTAGAAACATCCAAAAAAGTTAAATCTGGTCCTCTGGACATTCAAAAGAAAACAAAACAAAACAACAACAAAAATGTAGAAACGTTTCGTCTCTCGTCCGAGAGACTTCCTCAGTCTGAGGTGCTGTATTCAGCTCAGTCTCTTGAATAGCACCTTCTCAGAGTGGATCAACCAGTTTGCTGCTGACAACCAAAACCAGCTGATCACATGCTCAAGAAGGACCATCAGCATAACAATGGATCATTAGCACACTGATGGCTGTTTACTGTTCACAGAGGGCTGAGTGATACTAGCAATCACAGCATTGTAAGAGGGGGACAGTTGAACCCGGAGGCCTCCACCCCTGTTTAATGATGGACGATTTCTTTTCACAAAGATGGCCTCCTTTACTCCTCTCTCAAACCATCGTTCCTCTCTGTCCAGGATGTGAACATCTTCATCCCTGAAAGAGTGACCGCTGGCCTGGAGATGAGTGTAGACCTCAGAGTCCTGGCCTGATGATGTTGATCTTCTGTGCTGGGCCATCCTTTTGGCCAGTGGCTGTTTAGTTTCCCCGATGTAAGAATGATCACCCTCCTGACACTGAACAGCATACACAACATTACTCTGTTTGTGCCGGGGGACTGGATCTTTGGGATGAACCAGTCTTTGCCGTAATGTATTTTGGGGTTTAAAAGCCACTGGGACGTTATGTTTAGAAAATAAACGTCTCAGTTTCTCTGATACTCCCTCAACATATGGAATGACCACAGGTCTGGGTCTGGGTTCCTCCTTTTCACCTGATGGCTGACTGGAGTCCTGTTTGGGTTTCTTCTCTGCTTTCAGGAAGGCCCAGTTAGGATATCCACATTGCTCTAGAGCCTGTCTTGTGTGGGATTTCTCCTTCTGCCTGGCTCCTGAGCTAGTGGGGACGCTGTCTGCTCTGTGGTACAGAGTCCTGATGACTCCTAACTTGTGCTCCAAAGGGTGATGGGAGTCAAACTGCAAATACTGGTCTGTGTGGGTGGGTTTGTGGTACACCTCAGTTTGCAAATGTCCTCTATCAGAGACTGAGACCTCACAGTCCAAGAAAGCCAACTTGCCATTTTTTACATCTTCTCGTGTGAACTTGATGTATTTATCCACAGAGTTGATGTGGTCAGTAAAATGTTGGACTTCCTGAGATTTAATTTTAACCCAGGTGTCGTCAACATACCTGAACCAATGACTTGGTGGTGTCCCTGAAAAGGACGTCAAGGCTCTCTTTTCTACCTCCTCCATGTACAGGTTGGCAACAATAGGAGAAACTGGAGACCCCATAGCACACCCATGTTTCTGCCTATAATATTGCTCCCCATATGTGAAGTAGGTTGACTGCAGGCACAGTTTCAAGAGTTGACACAGTTGTTCTGTGGAAAGTGTGGTCCTGCTGCTCAGCGTGGTGTCTGATTTTAATCTTAAACTGACCACCTCTACTGCATCATCAACAGGAATGCACGTAAAGAGTGATGTGACATCAAAAGAGACCATTGTTTCATCAGTCTCCATGATGACATCCCTCACCTTATCCACAAAGTCCATGGTGTTCTGTATGTGGTGTTCTGAGCTGCCAACTAAAGAAACACATTTCTTTTACTAGAAACAGTAAACAGTCCGCTGTCTTAACGCCGTTTAGCTTAAAATATCATCAAACTACGGATGTTTTTTTTAATCTTCAGTTGTGAATTGGACCAGAAAATAACGTCATCGAGTATAAATGTATCGGTTCAAAGTACCGAGTGTTTTTACGAGTACAAGTACAGATTTCTACTAAAAATTGGTGAGACTGCCACTGAAACTTTCCAAAGTCTCGTGCATTTTTTGAATCTCCAACTCGTCCCCATTGGTTTGAGAAGTTTGGACCTAGGGGTGCAGGCTGGCACAAGGAGCTGGAAACAAAAAAACTTTATTTAAATAAAAAACAACGCTGCCAAGTCAGCACAAAACTTACAAAACGCTGGAGGAGTCGATCCCGGGGGAGGGGGTCAGGTGACAGAGGGAGACGACACATGACTGAAGTGAAGTGCACAAAACTTTATTAACACAAAACGCTGTTACAGTGAAACACCGGCCTAAGAGCAGAACGTGGGGGTCGTGCTCGCGTCGGTTTTTAGCTCGTACATCGGCGACGATGAACTGGTTTCAGCTCGTACGAAACCAGTCGCCAGTTCAGCGAAGCCTCACCACAGCTCTGGATCAAACCGTTTACGGAGCTGGAGTGATTTAAAGTGGAGGATTCTGTCGGGCCTTTCATTGATCCTCAGCTCAAAACTAATTAATGTGGTTCTGTTGCAGCCCGGCCCGCTCCCAGCGGCAGCGCTTCGTCACGTGGTTCAGTGAACGTCTCACTCCGACACGAAACAACACGTTCGGTTACCTTCAAATAATCACGTTAAAGTGACGGGAACTGAACAGGTCTTGAATTATTGTTAAAAACAAGTACATTTTCTCAAAAACTGAGTTTTGTCTTTGTCAGACATTGTTGTTTATTGTTGTTTATTGTTCTGCAGCGTCACTAAATGTAAACAAAAGTTTTCTGTTTTTGGTTTATTTGATCAGAAACGTTACAAAAACTTGTCGGGAGTCTAAAAATCATTTGGAATGTGTCCAACTACAAATAATTAATTAGCATTTAATCTCCCAGAATGAGCAAAATCATCAAACATGTTGCAAAAAAATGTTTTTAAAATTGAAGATTAAGTCTAAAAGTTATGAAGCAAATAATAAGTTATTTTAAAAATGCAACATTATGGCAGAAGTTTATTTGGCGTAAATGATAAATATTGATTTTAAAGCACAAAACCGTTCAGAAACGGGACAAAAATGTGCCGTTTTTAAACGATGAAAGGCACGAGGTGATAATATCTGTGTGCTCGCTTTTACTTGTCTTTCTGTTAGCAAAATATCTCTTGAAACACCGGACAGATTTTTCAGAAATGAATCATTGGGCGTGCGTCTACAACCGATAAAGGTTTAAACTCGAGATCGCTGCTGATGGACTTTAATTAACACAAACAGTTCTACAGATGTTGAAGTAACATGTGGAGTGGTAGTAGCTGAGGGTCGTTCACGACACGAGCGCTGAGCGCCTCGTCATCCTGCAGGAGACTCACTCGAGGCTGGAGCTCCGTCCCTTCTCAGCATGAGATTATTTTGGTTTAAACATCTGCTGATGCTCTTTAGGGCTTTTAATTGTTCAAATGTTTTATTTTGGATTTTATTGTGAAGCTTTAAAGACCCAGCAGCCGAGCTTGAGTTCGTGTCTGCCCCCGTGAGTCACGCTCACGTCTGGTCCTCTGAGGTGAAACTTGTAGACGTTTCTGTGGATTCGTGCAGCGTGACGCTCGAGCTGCGTCGGAGGCGGAGCTTCTTCTGTGACGTGACCAGGAAGTGTCGCAGCTCGGCCCTCAGCGACTCTGACGTTAGCCCAGAAGAAACGGCTGAAGCGTTTATTTAAAACAGAAGACTGAGTTTTAATCTGAGGCCGAAAAAATCTGCATCTGGACCAGATCCGGCGCTGCGTTCTAATCTGTAATTTCAGCTTGTTAGAAAGATAAAACTTGACTTTATAAACACTTCACAAGACATTTCTCTGCCCCTAACGAGTTTATTTTCAGGTTTATACTTAAAATTTTAACGTGTAGTAATTAGTGAGGTTAATCTGAAGCGCTAAATCTCAAACAGCTGTTCAGAAACTCGTCGTTCAGTAAAAAAGAGGATTTCTTGATGAATTTCCTGTTTGGAGCTCTGAGTTCATGCTGGAGATGAGGCTCGGCTACTACCACACTGTAGCTCAGTACCTCTTCAACTCGCTAACTTGTAGCTGTTTTTGTGTTTGCAAAGGTGGATTAGCTGCGGTGGCCATCTTGAATCAGGTCCAATCCAGCTATAATTCCTCTGGAAGCTCAGGGAAGAACAAAGTCAAAGTTTTTCTTGTAGAAAATGCGATTTATTTTATTTAATTTAATCCTGTAAATTACAAACAGTGATGCACCCAGAGACACTTTATTGTGTCTTTACTCAGCGGTTTATGATTTTGTGTCATGTTGACCTAAATATTTATTAAATCAGACGTTTTCCAGCTGGAGGCGGAGCTGCTGGTCGATCTGTAATTATCAGTAAGATGTTCGCCTGCAGGGAGACCCACTGTCCTGGTTTACCAGCAGATCCATGACTCTGTGTGCGGGGGGGTGGGGGTCAGTCCGCCCATCAGACAAAACTCAGAATATTAATCCTTAATCTCACTTTCCCAACATTTTAAATCCACGTTGGTTCTTACGCCGTGACGGTAAGAGTCAGTTGTAGAACTCAAACTGAGCCCTGAATGGAAAGATTTAGATAAAAACTAGAAAAATTATATTTTCTGTACAAAACACTGCACAAAAGCTAAAAGCTAAAGGAGCTAAAGGACTGCTGACAAAGCTGAACCTGTTCAGTTAAAGCTTAAGGTAGTAGAACACTAGCTGAATGTGGCAAAAGGTTAGCTAAAAACTAAAAGTAGTGTAAATGTATCTCAACGCTAAAAGTAGTAAAAAACTCGCTAGAAGCTAAAACTATTAAAAAGGATAGCTAGAAGCTAAAAGTAGCAGCACAGAAACTAAACCCTAAAACTAACAAAAACATGGCTAGTAGCTACTAACTAAACATATAAAAAAGCTAAAAAAAAAAAAACAGTAGCTAAACACTAAAACTAGAAAAGAGCTGGGTAAAAGCTAAACATAACAAAATGCTGGCTAGAAGCTAAAAGTAGCAGAATGGTAGCTAAACTTGAAAACTTGCTAAAGGCTGACTAGAAGCTGAACAAATAAAATGCCTAGCTAGAAGCTAAAAGTAGCATAGCTAAATGCTTAAACTAGCAAAAGGCTGGCTAGAAGCTAAACAACAAAGGATGGTTAGAAGCTAAAATTAGCATAATGGTAGCTATAAACTAAAATAGTAAAATGTCACAGAAAGACTAAAAGTAACAGATGCCAGATAGAAGCTAAATGTAGTAAAAGTTTGGCTAAAAGCTAAAGGCTAGATAAATGTTAAGACTAGTAATAGGTTTGCTAAAAGCTTAAAGTATAAAAATGTATCAAAAAGCTAAAAATATCTTAATGCTAGCTAAAAGCTACGCATTTCTAAATGATAGTTAAATGCTAATACTAGCAAAAGGGTAGCTAAAAGCTAAATGTAGCGTTTGGAAGCTGACATGCTGCTGTTATGTCAAAGTGCAACTCCTTTATGTGTATTTTAGTCGATGCTACAGATTAAATAATCTCGCTGCGAGGCTCTAATTTCTGCTGGTTCTGGTGTCATGAGGTCCGTTTATCAGAACAATGTGAAGTTAGAGAACGACAGGAGAGAGGGAGTGAATCAGTGCAGCAGCGACGGAGGGATGAAGAGGAGGAGGAGGAGGGACTGCGTGGACAGCCATCAGAGCTTCAGGTTTTCATTTCATTTTCCTCCACTGATGGTTCTGGTGAGGTTCTGATGGCCCGGTTCCTCCACAGGACCGTGTGTTTTTATTAGTTCTGGACACAGATCCTGATCTGGATCCTCTGACGGCGCCGGGTCTTTTAAAGACGGAAACAGAACTCGTGTGAAAACCTCGAAGAGTTATTTTAGCTGCTGGCACCAAACTCTTTCAGAACCTTTTTGTAGGTCTGGATCAGATTTTGACCCGTTTCTGTAATCCCTGGACCCTCAGGGCTGGTTTTGTCTGGCGGTACCAGACATTTGATGAAGTCCTGCCGGTACCACAGCCGTTCTCTGGATGGGTTCCTGTTTCTGAACTCTTCCTGGACTCTCGTTCTGTCAGGGTTCTGACACTGAGCCCTTCTGGACTTTGACCCATCACTAGACCTTCACGGTCGCTCCTCGGGGCTGTTTCTGAGTCCAGGTCCAGAGCTGTGGTTTGTTTGGGGGGGGTCAGCATGGTGGTGGGGCGGAGAACGTTGGCGCTGCTCGGACAGCCGTTCAGCTCTGTAGAGAGCAGAACACAGAACCGTCAGGCGGTCCGACCGGCCGAGGTGAGGGTTTGGGGTCGTGTTAACTTTCATGTTGGGGGGAAACAACAAACAGAACTTTGTTCTGGACCCAACGGTTCTGTCCGCTCTCTGTTCCAGGAGCCCAGCACCAAGCGCAGTAAGCCTGTCTCCAGGGTGGCCTCCCTGGCCAGCCTGCTGCCCCCCGTCAAGACCACCCCCCTGAAGAGGATCAGTCAGACTCTGCAGGTAAACCAGCCCAACGGTTCCGTTCGGACTTGAAGAAACTTTATGTAATAAATCAGGAGAGAAGTCGCAGCACACGGTAAAAACAGCCGAAGTTCATAGAAATACAACAAAAATGTAGAAAACTAATCGTGTCTGAAGATTAAATGAAAGTTTTCCGTGAAGGATCCGCCGATCCTCAGAGCGTTGAGCTCGCATCCAAACTGCAGGAGCTGAAAAACGGACTTTAGTTCAAAACTTCAGCTGCTAAGGATCACAGCTGGACCACAAACTGAAAAATGAAGATTTTCAACGACAAAAATAACTTTTTCTGTGACAAATTCACTCTGAACGCTGCGAGCTGAACGACAGCTAAAACTAGCTGAAGAAGCTAAAAATGAGATGTTAAAGCTAAAAGATGCAAACACTAGCTAAAAGCTAAAAGTAGCTAAAAGCTAACCAAATATAGCCGAGGCCTAGCGTAAAACTAAACTAAGAAAAGGCTAAATAAAAGCTTTAAACTAGAATAAAGCTAAAGCAAAAGACTTAAAATGGCAAAAGGCTAGATAACAGCTTAAAGTAGAACAACTGTAGCTGAAAGGAACAAAAAGATAAAGTAGCAAAAGGTTTGTTAAAAGTAAAAAGAACAGTCATCTATAAGCCCAAAGTAGTGCGAGGCTATCTCAAGGCTAAAAGTGGCAAAAGGCTAGCTGAAAGTAGCAACAATTAGCTAAAATCCAAAAGTAAAAAAGGCAAGCCAAAATTAGCAAAAGACTAGCTAAATGCTCAAGGCTATAAGCTAAAATAACAAAAGTATATCTAACAGCTTAAAATAGTAGAATTGGAGTTAAAATTAACAAAACGTTAACGAAAAGAAACTAAAGCGGGGTTACTTTAAAAAAAGGTTACTTTTAAGCAAAAGGCTTAAAATGGGAAAAGGCTAGATAGCGGCGTAAAGTAGCAAAATTGTAGCCGAAAGGAACAAATGGGATAGATAAAAATAGCAAAAGGTTTGTTAAAAGTAAAAAGAAGGGTCATCTGTAAGCCCAAAGTAGTGAGAGGCTATCTAAAAGCTAAAACTGACAAAAATCTAGCTAAAAGTAGCAACGACTAGCTAAAATCTAAAAGTAAAATAGACAAGCCAAAAATAGCAAAAGGCTAGCTATAAGCTAAAAGTAGCAAAAGTCTGACTAAAAGCTTAAAATAACGGAACTTTAGTTAAAAGTAACAAATGGTTAGCTAAAAGCAACCAAAGCTAGGTAAAGGTATCAAAATCCTACAAGTAGCAAAAGAATTATTAAAAGCTAAAAGCTTAGCTAAAAACAGAACGTAGTAAAAGGAGAGTTAAATGTAGCAGAATGGTAGCTAAAAGTAGCAACAGGATAGCAGAAGCTAAAGATAAGAATTAGTTAGCTAGAAGCTAAAAGTTAAAGAAGGCTAGCTATAAGCTGAAAGTTTTAAAGGTTATCTAAGAGCTAAAAGTAGCAGCTCAATAGAAGCTGAAGCAGATTTTAAGGAGAACAAAGTTTTTTAACAGAACTGAAGATAATTAAGTTTATTTGATGTCTGTAACTGCAGTTAAATGTTTTAAAAGTAAAAGTTACATGAACCAAAAGTCACAGCAGCCATGTCCAGAATGAGCCGAAGGTTTTGCTTTTTGAACAGCTAAAATAGTGCAAAGTGTGCAGAAGTATTTAGCTCTTAAAAACCCTGAATTAGAATAAAATCGTCTTTGTTTCTGACGGTCGGTCTCTGCAGCGCTCCATCACCTTTCGTAACGAGAATCGAGCAGAGAGGACCACTCCTCCTCCTCCTCCTCCTTCCTCAGCCACGATGAAGACCCGCGTCATCGCCGCAACGCTCTCCAGCCCCTCCTCCTCCCTGACTGCGTCACGGGTTTCCATAGCAACATGCCCCGCCTCAAAGCGGCGCGACAGCAAGCTGTGGAGCGAAACGTTCGACGTCCGGCTGGGAGCGACGCAGCCGCTGAGCCCGAAGGAGATAAAACGACAAGAGGTCCGAATAAAAACAAGTTCATTCATTCATTCATTCATTTATTTATTTATTTATTTATTTATTTCAAATAGTTTTTATTTTTTTATCTGAATTTCTTCTGCAGGCTATTTTTGAGTTGACTCAGGGAGAACAGGATCTGGTGGAGGATCTGAAGCTGGCCAAGAAGGTAAACAAAACCCGTTACCGTCCGTTTGTTTTATAGTTTAGTAACCGTGTATGCGTGTGTGTGCGTGTGCACGTGCGCTGCAGGCGTACCACGACCCGATGCTGAAGCTGTCCATCATGACTGAACAAGAACTGAACCAGATCTTTGGTACTCTGGATTCTCTGATCCCTCTGCATGAAGGTGAGCTTACCTGCAGCTCTTCACATGAATATGAGGAAAATCAAAAAAATAAAAGTCGTGCACGTGTTTATGGTGCTGAGCTCTGACATGGATCACGTGCTGTCATGAAAGAGCGATCATGTGACTTCCTGTTTCTGTCTGTGTGGGTTGCTTGGCTAAATTCAAGATGGCGGCCACAGCTACAGGAATTGGATACCGGTAACTCGGATGTTTTTACAGATACGGAGCTAAAGGTTGGCGTGGTAGTAGCTGAGCGTCCTTCACATCTCGCTCTCTGAGCAGCGGGGTGGCGGGCGGTATCGAGGAGGGCTTGTTTCGTTGGGCAACTGATGCGTTTTTGCTACATTTGATTTGTTCGTTGGGTCTAATTTGAGGGAGTAAAACGGATCTAGTCGACATTTGCAGAACGTTTTGTCGTCCTCAGACCTGCTGAGTCGGCTCCGAGAAGCCAGGAAACCCGACGGGTCCACGGACCACGTGGGACACATCCTGACGGACTGGGTGAGCGCGTTTTTCTTCAGATCTCACGCTCAGAATCTGTCGGAGTTCTGACCCGGAGTTGGTCTTTGTGTTTGTGCAGCTGCCCTGCCTCTCCTCCTACACCCCGTACTGCAGCAACCAGGTGCAGGCCAAGGCCCTGCTGGACCAGAAGAAGCAGGACCCGCGGGTCCAGGACTTCTTGCAGCGCTGCCTCCAGTCCCCCTTCAGCAGGAAGTTGGACCTGTGGAACTTCCTGGACATCCCGCGCAGTCGGCTGGTCAAATACCCGCTGCTGCTCAGGGAAATCCTGAAGCACACGGCCAACGACCACCCGGACCGGCAGCACCTGGAGGAGGCGGTGAGGAAAACAAACGTCCCTCCTCTAGGAAAATCTGAAATCTCTTCATTCGAGGAGCCAAATGTTTATTAAAGTTCATCTTTCAATTTTATCAAGCCAGTTTTTAAAATGCTCTCATTTTGTCTTCAGCTCTGCCTCTTCAAAGATTTAGCTGCATTTTTAAAGGGACATTTCAGATATTTCAATGAGGGGCTGACTGGAAAAACTCTGAACAGTTAATATCTTACCTGTTGCAGACAACTCTTTAAACAACTTCAGTTTGAAGAAACCGGACTGACGAGCTAATGGCTAGTTCAGGCAGGGCCACGAATACAGTAGCAGCTAGCTGTAGCACTTCCAGTGCGGCCAATAAAACTATTTTACATAAATAAAACACACACAAAAAGAAACGAACTGGTAAAAACTCAAAATAGGTCAATTGTAGCTTCAAGGTTAAATCGACAAAACTGCAGAAAGAGGCTCAAATAAGCTAAATTGTAACTCAAAGCTAGAAATAGCAAAACATTGCTAAAAACAGCTAAACAGTAACTAAATGGTCAAATAAACCTAAAACTGAAAATGATCAAACTTCTAGATGAAAGCTAAAATTTTCAAAACAGTAGCACATTGCTAAAGTAAGCACAGTAGCTAAAAGCTAAAATGAGCAACTTGTAGCTTAAAATTTAGCTATAGCTAAAGGCTTAAAATGAGCTGAACTGTAAGAAAAAAGCTACAATTAGCTCAATTATTGCTAAAGGCTAATATATTTTAAATACTGGTTAAAATCTACAATTAGCAATAATTGTAGCTAAAGGCTAAAAATGGCAAATACATATTTAAAGGCTAAAATGATTTAAACTAAGGCTAATATTAGCTAAACTGCAGCTAAAGACTAAATTTAACCTAACCATAGCTAAATGGTAAATTATCAAAAACTACTGATTAAGACTAGAATTAGCAGAATGTTAGCTACAAGCTAAAAGAAGCATAAAGTAGAACAAGTGTGCTGAAGAATGTATTTAAAAGAATTAAAGACGATCTTGATGGGTTTCCACGGGGAAAGGTAAATAAAATGTAATGTTTTGAAAAGTATCAAAGAAACAAAAACCCGAACGGGTTTTCAGACGGAGATGAACCGTACGGGGTTGATCTGCGCCGCAGGTGCTGATGGTTCAGAGCGAGGTGGCGGACATCAACAGGCAGACCGGAGAGTCCGAGTGTCGGTACTACAAGGACCGGCTGCTGTTCTCCGAGGAGGCCCAGAGGGACGGACTCATCGACCGCTCCAAGACCATCAGCTGCCACGGAGAGCTGAAGAACCACCGAGGACTCGTCAGTAGATCTTTACTGCTTCATCCCCTCCTCCTCATCTTCACACTCACCTTCTGCTCACACAAGAGTCAATAAATAAATCTTTCCTGTGCATAAAATAACATATTTTCTGTTTATGTTACTTTTCTGTTTTGTTTTTTTTCCAGGAAGAAGAAAGACTAACATCTTTTTGTTTTTTGCTTTTGTCTTTCAGAAACTCCACGTCTTTCTGTTCCAGGACGTCCTGGTCCTGACCCGGTCCGTGTCTCTGAACAACCAGCCCATCAGCTTCCAGCTCTGCCGCCAGCCCATCCCCATCCGCCAGCTGGAGCTGGAGGACCTGTCGGACGGCGAGATGAGAGTGGGCGGGTCCATCAGAGGGGCCTTCAGCAACACGGAGCGAAGTCAGTCCAGCACTCGGGTTTGGGTCAGAACCAGTTATCGTGCAGACCGTAACCTTCTGTGTCGTCTTCTCCTGCAGCTAAAAACTTCTTCCGGGTTTCGTTCGGTGCGGGAGGCCAGCTGCAGACCCACTGCTTCCAGGCCAGCGACGCCTTCAACAAGCAGCAGTGGCTCAACTGCATCAGACAGGCCAAAGAAGCAGCAGAGCAGACGGGGGGGCAGCCCCCCGAGAGAGGACCGGCTCCGGAGCCAGGTCCAGGACCACAGAAGGATCAAACTCTGATCGAAGCTTCTGGGCGTGAAAAGGAAAAATCGATGTGGGGGGAGGCGGAGGCGTGTCTCGTGGTAGGGGAGGAGTTAACGCGGGGGGAGGCGGGTGCAGGTGAGGAGTGTTCGGAGTTGGACGGATTACCGGACGGTGTGGAGACGGAGACGAGGCAGGAGCGATGCAAGGTGGACGGAGGAGGAGAGACTCTCGTCTCAGGTGATGGCCATGCTCCCGGTTCTGACGTCAAACCAGGAGAGGAGGAGCTGATGAAGGTGGAGGAGGAGGAGGAGGAGGAGGAGGAGGGCAGCAGGGAGGAAGAACAGGTCAACATGGACACTGAGGAGTGCGGCGAGCAGAACCAGAGGTGCTGATACCAGAACCAGAAACTGGACTTTTCACGTCAACCAACAGAAAACAGCCTCGCCAGGCTGCAGGTTCATGAGTATGGCAAGCAGTTTGTGTATTTATTTGATACCAAGCATATTTTTTGCCCACTAGTTCACTACTATGCTGAACTAGTTGCACATCTGGTCTCACTAATTCAACCAACGTACTACTAGTCAACTGTTTTCCCACTCGAGTGCCACAAAAGTCTCGACCAGTTGTTTTTTTAACGCACCGGTAAACCAGTGGGCCATACCAGTCATCGTAAAAGTTAACTAGTAAGCATCAAGAACCCTTACATGTTAACTAGTCTACACAAATGAAGCTACTAGTTGGCTAGTTACCGTCAAACCTGTCGACCTGTTTTCAGTCATTTCGGCTGTTTTTGTCGGCGTCTGGTCACAGTTTAATTTTTATTTAAGGACACGTTGATCGTTAATAAGAGGAAAGTTCAGCTTCTGTGTTTTTCATTTTTTTCATTTTCGTGACTTTGAAAGAGAAACTTTGATTTGTTTTGCTTCTGCGTCTGTTCGCTCTGGATCTGATTTGATTTTTTGAATCGCCCCGGTTTGTTTTCAGCACTCTGAACAACACGAGTCTTCAGCTTGTCGTTGTTTTGACTCTTAACGATGAAACCGGATGTTTCCTGTAAGTACCGTTTGTAAAAACTGTATATGAGTAAATGTTTATATAAATACTGTACACGTGGTAAATATCTATGTACATGCGCACGGTTCATTCTGGGTGTTCTAGTGAACGATGTGTTTGGATAAAGCCATTTTTCAGAGACGACGAAGAAAGATGCTCCTGAAAAAATCCCGTTTTACTCCGTTGGGTAAAAATTTAAACGGCGATGTCATTTAAACTTTGACTGAACCAAAGAAACAATAAATTATAGTAAAAAATTAAACTCGTCTTTGGATAGATTTACACCAAGAATGAAACATTGTTACGGTGTAAAAATAAAAAGAGCCTGTATGAAGTTGTATTTTACTGCGTCCTGCTGAAAGATGAAAGTAAAGGGATGTTTTTGCTTATGTCTGTGTCTTTGTTAGCAAAATATCTCATGAATTACAGACTGAATTTTAATGAAACCTTCAGGAACTAATCTTTGGGTTTACCTTTAAAACCATTGACCTTTGGAGTCAATCCAATTCAAAATGGCCGCTGCAGCCACGTAGCAAATACAAACGGGTATAATTCAGTAAATGTTACATAAATTGCTCTAAAACGTGGAGTGGTAGTAGCTGAGAGTCGTTCCCAACACACTGCACATGCTCCCCTGCCTCAAATGTTGGCAGTAACTCTCGCTGCCAACCTTGTGTCTCTGTTAAGAAAATATCTCATGAACAACCTAACGTAACTCAGCGACTGGATCTACAGCTGAGTACCTTTCGGAGTCGGCGGTACTTGAGATATTTTGCTAACGCAGCTAACAATTAACGACAGCCTGCTCATGTGATCTGCTCTCAGAGCAAGTGTTGGAGATGACCCTCCACAACTATCACTTCAGAGTTGAGCTCAGGATCAATTTTGAGATATTTTGCTAACAGACGAAGCCAGATCTCCCGTCATGATGGAACGCTCGTTGCTGGCACTTCAGGAGCTCCATACTTCAACCATGAAGACAAACGTCCTGATGCCGCTCAATAATCCAGGTGGAATCAGGTCCTCTGGACGGACTTTTGGATAAAAGACGAAAAGTTTCAACAAGTTTTTAAATTTATTTTATTCTGTGAACATTTCTCTTCCATTTGTTTTTCAGCTTCTTTCTTGTTCCACAATTTTTGTGCAGTTTCAACAAATCAAACCGTTCAGCTGTTTCAGGACAATCCTGCTGTGACGTTTGGTTTTGGTGCAACTTTAGCTTTTTGAGATGTTTAGCCTCTTTTTTTTCTCATAGAAAATTATTTGAGCTCATTTTCCATCCTTCAGATCTGTTCACAACCTTTTACTGCTCCTTTCACATTTTGTTCTGGTTCAGCTTTGTGCAGCTTCTTTCTGCAAATTTAAACTTTTTTCAGCTGCTTTTTTGCTG